GGCAACCTCTATAATGCGCGATCGTCATTCTCAATTTCTAAGCCATATCGTCGATCGTCGTTTCCCCGTAACAATAGCAAAAATTTAAATTTACTCTTTATTGATCGGCGCGTGATTTACTTGCAACTGTAGAAGATTTTTATTCTGATTTTATTTACGCAACAAATTAATAAAAAAGAAACATAAATTCGATAATGACAAAGCATATAAAACAGCATAGGTCCATTAAGACAACAAAAGAAATATTGTTTCGAATATTATAATTTATTTTTCAAATCAGAATGCACTATGGATCGTATCAAAAGCGATCTTACACCATAAAATTATTTACAGGATCCATCAAATTAATACTATAATTTCTAATAGTCTATTAAAAACAGAAGAATTTAGATACAAATTCATACCCTGATCAGTACTTTAAGGCCAGTGAAATCTATCGCAAAAGAAATTTTTACACGAATCATCATCACGGCATTCACATATCGCACCCATTAACAATGCCTTATGTTTGCCTAGTTTCCTGGTTAATCGGTATTCGTGTTTAGAGTTTTGAATAACGTACACGATTTGATGAGAATTTTTTACTAACTTGACTAGATTTTTGCTTGTTCTAGAAACTACGAAAAAAGTACATACAGTACAGTCATCCTGACATTAGTAGGTCATGTGACTAAATTAAGTTTTTTTATTTCCCCTTCAAATCTCTTTTCTGACCGCCCTATGGCCGTGAGAATCTTATTTCTTTTCGGGTTCCAATTTTTTTTCTATTATCTTTAAAATAATCATATAAACAATTTATATTCAGCATTATTGTTTGACTTTTCATTAATTCATTTCGCGGTGATTCGCAAAAACTGTACAGTATATGAATTTAGAAACTTTATACAGTCTGTATTAAGCTTTAACGATTGTTATGCCTTGAGTTGCTAATAATAAATCAAAAGGGATGTAAAGTATTGAATACATTAAATATACTTATTAAGAACAAATAAACTAAATACATACGAAAAGTGCAGGTTATCCTCGAATCTTATTCTCAACAAGTCTAGGATCCAAGTCTTTCTTCACTGTCTTTTTAAATAATAATATTATTATCTGCGCTATCCAACTCAGATAACAGTTGCTTTTTAGTCAATTTTTTCAAGGCTTTTACAATCTCTCCTTTAAAAGAAATTCAGCTAGCTGATTGTTACCACAGCTAGTACAAACTTTAAAAGATAATGACAGAGGGTCTAAATAGACTTTTTCGAGAGCGATCTCTTTTTATGAATATCAATTACCCTTACATCCGGATGATTTGATTCCACCCAATTCTTTGCTTTTCTCGAATTTTTTTTGTTATCGAAGTACAAGTATATAGTCGGTCCTTCTTTCCTAAACCACCATCCAAATAACTCTAATGAAATCAAAACATTCCATTACTTTATTATCATTCCATTTTGCAAGCGTTTCACCATCAGTTATTTCAAGGGTATAATTTTTTCCTGCAGGGTCCTGTCCATACGCATATGCGAAATGCCGGTAAAGACTATGCAGAGAAAGAAAGAAATTTCTCATGAGGTCATCGGATATCCCTATATAAATGAGGCGTTTATTTAGAGTACTAACGTAACAGGCAAAAGAATATTTCATACCTGATGACCAAAATCAGACCTCAATCTTCCAATTATATTTCAGGGCCCATTTTAATATAGGATAATAATCATCATCATCGGCAACTAAAAGAATTACACCAGGATTCATCAAATGGACGATATCCAACATAGAAGCTCCAAGTTCCATATCAACTTTCTTTTCTTTATTTGCGATACGATCATAAACGACCACATCATAACCTTGATTTCGAATCCGATTCCATAATGAATCGTTCGGAGGTGGTCGGGAGCCAACAATAACCGGATTACTGCCTATTCTCCGTCCTTTCAGTAGTGTTGATAGAAGACGCCCATGATCGATATAGAGCTGATTGAGTTGGTAAGAATTTCTTTGGTGATCAAAGTTGTCTGCTTGTTCAATACGACCAACAGTATATTTTCCTTCGATAAACAAGTTGAAATTGTTCACAAAAACATATACAAGTCCGGTGTTTGATTTTGGAGTATTTGCTATATGGAGAAGAATTTATTAATGGTTTATATAATTGAGAATGCAAACAAAATCTCAAGTACACTTACATTTTTTTAGATCCACAATGAAATTCGATAATTCTGTGGCAGGTCCAAACACAAACCCAATACTGCGGAAGTCTTCTTTAGTCATATATAAAAAAGAAGAACCGGTTATTTTCTCCTTACGAAATATCGCAAGGTCTTCGTCATATAGTTTCAAATTCTTTTTTTTGCAAATACTCGATTAGCTCTTCGGTGCCATATTTTTTAACTACGTTTGCCATCTCGTGAACGGGCTCTTCGTCAGAGGAAACGCTTGAGGGTGAGAACGATTCTGAAGACATTCTCTTAAAATCTATTACTGTGCCTAGATTTATAATCAAAGAACTATGGAATCTAAAAGGCCAGCCTAAGTTTAATAAGTTAAGTATGTGGAATCTATCGTATCACAACCGGTTTTTACTACTGTGCCTGGATTTATAAGCAAAGTATTGCGGAGTATTTGTGAAATTATATCGAAATTTAACGTGACAAAACAATATCGGAAAATTTTGTCTTTCTTCTTGACTACCTCCCATATCTGGCATACTTCATTTGTAATAAGGGTCCAAGTATGCTCGTAGGTCTCTCTCAAAAACGAGAATGAAATTCTTCAAAATATCGCGGTTCTGCTCCCAGCTATGTATTGATTGATACATCAACTAGTAAAATTTCATTATTATATACAGTATACGCTATCATAAAATGAATTTCCTTGGTATATAAACACTTACGGTATGATCTCTTACAAGATTTTTAAATCTATTATTACATTGATATCCTGTATAACTGATTCATTGGCTGTATTTGCAATTTTTTGGTCTATTAATAAGCGCAATTTGATCGTCAGTCCACATCGCAAAAAATTTATTCAACTTGCCAGAGGTAGTCGCATCGTGGTTATTTCTCATACAATTATATATGAAAAAAAGTTCATCGTGACTACATCGCACCTTCATCACGCCAATACTGCACCTATGTTGCATCCATATTACATCTTAATTATAGAAATATAAGAGGAAAAATTGCATATCTCGGATTTGCTTATCTAAAAATGACCATAATTGGCATTACGTTGAAGGGTTGTTTATTCATTATAACGAAACTAGAATGGGAAATGAAGTTCATGATCGGTGGAAAATACCGAATCAGAGAAATTGGGTTGCATGAAAAATTAGTATAGCGTCGCTAGTGTCTTAATATGCGTAGAATGAACGGTCTGATTTTGTATAAGTTTCACCGGTATTTAAATCGTCATAATATCCTTCACCATCGTCAGAAAATCCACAGAACCCGTCATCATCAGAAAAACCATCATCATCATTATCACCATCTTCGTTATTATTGAAGGAATATTCATCATCGAGTGAACTTAACTGAGGCGTGGATGGGAGCTTAGTTTCTGGTGAGATATTATTATTATTATTCGCTAATACACTTACTGCAGTTTCTAATAAAATCTTTTCAGGTTGTGATGCGGATGATGTACAGTACTTACCTTGGTTTCTGGTAAAGATTTAACTTCCTCAATTATTTGATCTTCCGAATTAGAGCTATGAGACAATGGGATGGAGAGAGTGACTGTAGTACTTACCTCCGTTTCCGAAAATTCTGAATCTTTATTTTCTTTTTCGCAAGAAAGTTGCCGGTTACTTCCTGAACTCGGTTCAGGGAATTCGGATTTTAAGGTGGGTGATGTGAAACATCGAATCTTTGATTCTTCTATCTTAATATTATAGTCAAATGGCACATTATCTATAATATATTGAATATCGTTGTTTGTCATTTTTGTGATGCTATCAGCGGAAAAGGAATGTATTCGATAAATTTTATCTATACCTATTACACTGAAAAGTTTGTAGAACTTTTTAGCCTTTTCGATTCTCTTCCATAAAAGTGCGTCAGAAATATTTGCAGGGAGCTGAGCACGAACTTCCTTATTTAAAATTCTACTAATTGCATTAGATTCCAGATTAATTTGTTTTTCTGATACTAATTCATTACGTCTTTGAACAAAAGCTTTACCAAAATTACAATAACAGAAGATTGCTTCTTGAGTTTTACGGTCAGCGAGAAATATAGCATTACAAAGTTTTTCGTATAAAAACGTGAAGCTAGTATTGCTGGGTTGAGATGATGTGAAGCATCGAGTCTTTGACTCTTCTGTTTCATTCAGGGTTGTAGGTATCACATGACTGCCTGCATTACTATTACTAATAGATGAGCTAGAGTTGTTAGAAACTTCTGCTATAAATTTCTTTACTTTGTTTTTGCTAGATTGGGAATTATCTTTATCATTTGATAAAGGATCTTGAGTTGCAAGCGTCTTTTCTCTATTTTTCTCTCTTATTATATTACCAACCCTTTCCTTTTCTTTTAGGTCTAGAAATTTATTGATCACTTTATCTTCTGAAGATTTGTTTTCTATACAATTGGTGATGTGGAGCATTGATGTGGGCCAGCCTCTAGCTGAACCTCTGTATCCTGACATACGCCGGAATTTGAAGTGACATCGATTATATCAGATGTTTGATACTCTACTTCATCAGATGTCTATCCATTACCCTTGTTTTGCAAGCCCTGCTTCTTGATTAGTGAGACATCATGTTTCAATTCAGCGATAAGGTCGGTTTTTTCCCTATCTATTTGCTCTAGATTCAAGAATCTGGCTTCAACTTCTTCTTTGTCTTGGTTTAATTTTGCATTCTTAGCTTCGACTTCAATATTATTAGCTTCAAGCTCAGCGAAGCTTATAGTTTCACAATAGGTACATATTACTGATAAAGCAGTATCTGGCATTGTTAAGAAAGTATCAGGTAAAAAAATCTGGATCTCTCTTCACCGATTACTGGAGATAGTGAAATCCAAGATTTAGCAATATATTATAAACTCGAGCCCTTTAGGAGTGTCTCTTCAAGACATAACTAACCTCAATATTTCTCGAAATCATACATCATGCAAGGTTAAAAGAAAAAGGAAAATTTTAAATGATATTGCATCTGAGTCTTTGTTCTCATCTGGGTCCAACTCTGAATCATCTAGCTATAAAGTAAGTAACTGATTACATCTGGCATGATGATAAATATTTTACTATAAAAGTGGTAAGAGAAAAAAAGTGTGATTAGTTATTATTATCATATAAACGAAATGGTCTCACATCTTCAGGTTTTTGTCCTCATTTCCTGTAGTTTAATATGACGTAGTTTTGTACTGGAGAAGTATAGTTGTCTGAATTATGACGTAAACATTCTCCAGTAATGGTATAAGCATGGACTGGATTCTCAGCTTCAACATTCTGCTTATAACACCTGGGATTACTCAATCCAAACTTCTTGGATTATAACAGGAAGAGGATAACTAGATGTCTTTTTTAGAAGAGAGTTTTTATCCTTGATAATGGTAAAGTAAGAAAAAAAGTTTCTTTAAAGAAAATAATAACCTGACAAGACCCAGCAGCTTGTCTTGTTAAAGTTTTTTAAAAAAAAAGTTTTTCAAAATTTGAGTGAAACAGAAAGGTGTTTTTTTTTAGAACATTCTTTTAATAATATCTATATCTTAGTTTATATTTTTATTATGGCAAAATAACTATACTTCTTGCTTGGAGAATTTCCTTTTATCTCAAAAAACCAGACTTCACATCAAAATTGTTTATATTGTTGACTTGGAGCACCAGCAATATATTTAATGTTTACTTCTCACTATTGCCTAACATATTCTGCTGCGCTACCAAAAATCAAAAAATCTCACTTAAAAAATTTCATATCAAAAAATTGCAATCAGTTTACTCCTGTCAATTGATCAACATTCCAAACTCAACCAATCAAACACTATCAATTTTTTAAACAAATCTGTACAACCAAAACATTACACTTTGATTGATATAAACAAAACCTTTTATGGCAACAACAATCAAAACAAAATCACACCACTAACAAACAAACCAATCACAAATCATATCATCACAACAACAATACTATCATTATAACTAATAATCTACCAAAAAGATATATCATCAATACTATTGTATACTTTGGACAGTAGCCTGGCCATTTTTGGAAGTGCAACAGTACTTCAATTAAATGGAACTACCAGTGTGGCATGCCTAGTGGCATCCATAGCTTCACAATTAGTGTTTTTGCATTTATTTTTTTTGTTTTTGTTTAGTATTTTTTTTTTTTTTCAAATTTCAATTTCTTATAGTTTTATATATAAACCTGAATAGATATTCATAGCTGCTCAGCACTATTTAGGATGTACATCAGTTTTAATATTTATTTTCCATGTTGCTTAGATAGTTTTTGTAGGTAAGCTAGTATTAAATTTATTAGCTTAGCAAGTTATATAAGAGATGTTGTCACTTTTTCCATATATAAATTTTAAATAATTTTACAATTAATAAAGTGATGATATTTACCTATTGTTACACTTGATCTTTGCCCAAGATCATCACTACCCCT